AATTAACCTCGCCTCACATTTGCCTTAAGGGATTGGCCCACCTGAACAGGCATACAACTACACAAAAAGACATTCGGCTACGCATTTAGACACATTGAGATACATACAGACAAAGGAACAGACAGATTAAGAGATATAGAGACGAACGAACATAAAAGATACAAGCCGACAGATAAAGTTAGAGAATACTATAAATGCCTTCATGCGGCAGATTTGCATGCATACAAACAAACAAATATACAGGCATATAGGCAGACATACATGTGGAGAAAGGGCGGAAGATATTGGACATATCCTCACACACACACACACAGACTAGAGGACATGCGTGTGTCTTAAATTGTATGTATGTACACAGTGAGGCTGATAAGACAGTCCATCGGCTGAATCATTCCCCTTCAGGCCGGGCTGGAGGGCTGTCGTTAGTGGGGAATTCGAGGCGAGTTATCAGCCAATCAGCTGTCGAGGTCATGCCCTGAGGCGACAGACCAGCCGGTGTGGAGGCAGGCTCAGAGGCGGCAGCAGAAGCTGACGACGGCCGGTTGTATCGCCTCAACGAGGACGGTGAAAATGTGGCGTTGACTCGAGGGGAGGCGGAGAAGGCCAATACTTGCAGCATGACTCAGCGCTCTACTCCTCCCTCCACCTCTTCTCTCATCCAACCGGCCACGCACAAACACACCTCGAACTCCACCCCCAGCAAAACACACTTGAGCCAAACTGCCCCCTCCACACAATCACACACAATCACAACTTTCACTCAACACATCACACCTCAGCATAATGTCACCTCGACACACAAAAACACCCATAGACACATGCACACCCCGACACCTTCGACACAACAACACACCGGCACAAGTGCACAAATTTACCTTGACACATCCACACTCGAACAAACCATCCACAGCACAAGCACACATAAACACAGACAAAATACCAGACAAACACACATCGGTCCGTCGCCTCGGCGGCGTGGCGAATCTGCGGTCAAGTCGAGTCGAATCGAGTTTGGATGCGATG